GTAGTAGTAGTAGTAGTAGTAGTAGTAGTAGTAGTAGTAGTACTCTAGATAAACATCCAATACCACAGAATACTACATCAGTTCCAGTGCATCTTTATAAACAAGGATAAATAAAATCTCTTTTCGTTCCTCAAACATCCAAGATTTTCCTTTAAACTGTTACATAAGGAATTATGACGAGTTTTTATTTATATATAATTTATTTTTTTAAAAATGTCTTATTTATGGTAAACATTTAGCAGAAATGTCCCCTCAGGTGTTTGTGGCTCACACCACCCACACGTCGGTTGTCTTTCCCATTACAAGCAAGAGGTTTAGAGAAATGTGAGTTAAGAGGTAGCCACCGTTAGCTTCACTTAGCCAAAACATTTCTAAAATAGGAACCGGAAACATGATTCATCTGAAAATATTCAGCAGACCAAAAAAAAAAAAAACCCAAAACAAACTAAAATAAAATAATTAAGGGGTTTAGATAAAGTTAGCTACCTGACGGTTACAGTAAATAATTACAACAATGAACCAAAATAGCTAACTGTTAGCTGACAATAAAAAAAAATTGGCTACATTGTTTTAAATCAGTCAAATACACTGTTTGTTAATTCAAAAAAATAGAAACCATAAAGGTAATAGTTGGTGAGCTAAGACCTAAAAGTTATCCTCACAGGTTAGCTAAATGTTAGCTCAAACGTCATGTTCTTTAAATGAGATTCCAGAGTCGATGATAATGAAACTGTCATCATCTTCATCTTCATCATCATCATCCTCTCCTGTATCTCCATCATCACTGATCTGCTGCTGCAGGTGCCTCAGCAGTGATTACTGTGATGAGGGAGTGGGCGGGACACGAGTCCCAGGAGACGGAGACGCAGTGGACTCAAAGAAAAAAGTCTTTAAATGATGAATGAAGCACATCTTGATGCTAACACAACAGTCTCCTTTATTTCTTTCACTCTTTTTCTTCTTCCTGTAGAGAAGTTCTTCCCGAGTTCAAATCTGTTGTTTTGTGACTTCTGCATTTAAAAACTCAAAAACTCACACAGTACGACAGGAATAAACCTGCGACTTTAGCCTTGAGCTTAAAACACTGTTTTTCTCTGCGGACTCTGGTGCAGCTCAAAGCTGTTTTTGCTAACGTTACATTCTGGCTAATTCCAGTTCTTTCTTTTCGTTCCCATTTTTCCACTTTTTAGTTCCAGAAATATTTCACATATTTAGTCACAGACTCACTTCTTCTGCAGCGCCCTCTTTTGGCGGTAGACCTCTTGCCGATCCTTCGTGTTTGTCCCATTGACGGTGTCACAGCTGTTGGTTCAAAACTCTGAACACTATGATTCCTGCAAAAAAAAAATGATTGCGTAGGTGAGTTCCCCCCATGGGCCCCGCCC